ATTCCCAGGCCACCATGGCTGAGAGGAAGCTAAAAGTTGGGGGTCAGAGAGGTGGAGAAGCCACCCAGCTGGACCTCTGGTGACCCAGAGAACCGTCCCCGCTGCCCAGAGCAGCAGGAGGGAGGGCCAGGTAGCAGGCTACCACCTTGCCAGGAGGGGCTGGGTTTGGTGTTCTCCCGCGGTGCCCGTGTGACAGCCCTCCCCCACAGCGACAGATGCTGCGAGGCTGTCGGGCACTGAGGTGCCTCCCCAGGCTGTGGGGCTTCATCCACACACAGGCCTGCTCGCCATGCGGGGGGGGGGGGTTCTCCGTCAGCCCACGTGTGCGGCTGCAGAGGCACGTGTGAGAGCAGCTGCTTCAGGGGCAGGGGAGCCGGGCCGGCTGGGGCCGGGGCCAGGACACAGGCGGCACTTTCCAGGTGTTTCTGGGGCTGTGCCCACTGCAGAGCATTTCCAAATATTCGGCAGAACCCGTCTGTTTAAAATGTCTAGAAGAGCAGTGTTGGGTGGAGTTTATTTTCGGTTTCGCGGTTGTGGTAAAACAGCGCATCACAGAGGCCGTGTGGACCACCTCTGGGACACAGTGGCGGGAGGTGCATGCCCTGCCGGTCACCTGCTGGGCCTTCTTATCCCACCCCCGCCCCAGCCCGCCTGTGCCCTCCCCAGACGCAGCCCCGCCCCCAGCCCCTGGCAGTCACCCTCCCCTGTCTGTCTCTGGATTGGATGGTTCCCGTAGGTGAGAGGAGTTATGCAATATTTGTCCTTTTGTGTCTGATTTCACTAAGCATGATGTCTAAGAGATTCATCTGTGTTGAAGTGTGTGTCAAAATTTCTTTTTAAGGCTGAAGAGTGTTTTTACCCGCACTGATTTTTCCCATAGGTTTTCGGAGAGCTGGCATTCATTTTCATTCTAGACGCCCGAGGCTCGAGGCCTGAGCCTCAGGCAGGAGGGTGGCCCCCTGGGTGTGGGGCTGGGCAGCTGCTCTCTGTCTCCGGTGCGGGGGAGGCAGCCCCTGGCGGTCCTGTGCCTGGGAGCCTCCGGGACAGTGCCGGGGGCTGCTGGTAGCTCCCTGGGGGCCACAGGGTGAACGGTGAGCGGCCCGCGGCCGCCCCTGCAAGCGCAGAGTGCTGCCTTCTGCCCCACCAGGTCCCTGCAGCAGCCGAGGGGCGGGCAGCGGGCCGGGCTGCCGAGCCTGCTTCGGGGTGGACGCGGGGAGAAGGGCCGGAACGTGGGCTGCGGTTCTCCCCGGGGCTGAAGGTGCGCTGTGCTCGGGCGCTCGGCCCTCGGGCACGGCGCAGAGTCACTGCTTGACTGACTGGTTGTCCTTCCACGTGCGGTTCGTGCTTGGCGAGTGCCGGCTGGGCCCCACCCTGTTTCTGGAGCAGTGCCTGACCCACAGCAGGGGCCTGTGTGGGGGCGTCGACTTCGTCAGCTGGTGGCTGCCCCCGGGCTGCTCGGGACCACCCTGGGTCCCGCGGGACGGCTGCAGGGTGAGGGTGTTTCTGACATTGGAGGCGGCAGAGCGGAGGCGCCGAGGTCTGGTGCGTGTGGCGGCTGCCGGGCTCAGACTGCCGGCTGCGTGGTGCGGCCCGCTGCCACGCCCTCCTTCGGGTACCACAGCAGGGGCTCCTGCGTTTCCCGAGTGCGAAGGCCCGGTTGTTGATGTGACCGTGACATGAAGTCCCATTCAGGAAGCTTCGAGATGAAAGTCACTGCCGGGGTGCTGGGCCCTGGTCCGTTGCCAGAGGTGTTCGAGCACTGCGCAACAACACAGGCCTTCAGAGGTCTTGCTTGTGACGTGTGTTCTGTAACTGTAATGTTGAAATTCCATTTATGGGAGTACTTAAAATAACACGGGGATGGTTCTGAGTTTATGGTTAGAAAGGGGGGCGTGAGCTAGGCAGTGCCTGGTCAGTCACCCACAAGTGGGCATTTTCCTGGAGGGGTGCTGGGGGACTTAGGCTCTTCCCTGCTGGCATCACGCCAGCATAACAAGGCCGCCCCGGCCAGAGCCCGGGACCTCCCCTGGGGTTGTGGCCAGGCTCGAGGGCCTGCGTGTCCACACACCAGCTCCCTGCAGGAGAGCGTGCCGGGAGCACCTGTGAGTCAGCGTTGTGTTCCCCTGGGGACCTGTGTGGGGGGTGAGCCCTCGGGTCGTGAGGGTGGTGGTAGTGGTCTCGGCCGCCCTGGCGTGGTGTGAGGGCTCCGTGTGCCCCTGGGTTGGGGCCCCCAGACAGCAGTGCTGTGGGATGCTGGGACAGAGTCCCCTCGTCTCACCTGGCCGGCTTTCTCCTGCCCGGGGCGCTTCCACCCGTGAGGTCTGCGATGCACACATGGCCACCGCCACACCCCGTGCAGCACGTGAGCACGCGTGTTGCGCTCTGCAGGCCCCTGTAACCACAGCGGGATGGTGGGGTGGGCTGTGAAATCTGAACAAACACAGCAAGCACCAGCCTCCCTCACGCCGCCTGCCATCCGGGGGCCTCTGTGCCCTCCAGACTCCGCCACCACCTCCAGCCCGCACGGGCTCCACCTGCCACCGGCCCCCGGAGCACGCCGGTGACACGGCCCCCGGGTGTCTGCAGGAGGCCTCTCTGTGTAAGGCCCACGGGCGTGCGGGTTAGGGGCAGAGCCCGCCCTGGGTTCTTGCGCCCACCACACAGGGCCGTGTCTGGGGCGTCTTCTGCCCTCTGTGTGCCCCGCCCACCTGCTTTGTTTCCTGAAGAAGCCCCTCACTTGGGGCGGCGTTTTCCGGGCCACTTCTCCAGGCAGCCCTGCTCGGCCCTCAGTACTGAGCCTCTACTGCCTGGGTGCCAGTGACCATCTTCCTGAGGCCGCTCGGTGGCCTCATCCTGGCCTGCAGCCCACCTGTGCGCTTTTTCAGTTTAATTTATTTATTTTTAGAGGGGGGAAGGGAGGGAGACAGAGGGAGAGACACATGAATCAGTTGCCTCTCGCATGCCCCCAACCGGCGACCTGGCCCACAGCCCAGGCATGTGCCCTGACCAGGAACCGAACCAGCGAACTTCCAGTCCGCAGACCAGCACTCACTCCACTGAGCCACACCAGCCAGGGCCCCACCCGCTTCCTTCCTTCTTGAGACACTTGCTCCTGTCTTGCTGTATCCACGGTTGTTCAGGCTCCGTTTCCGAGTTTCCATTCTCTTCGTATGCTCCTCTCTCTGCGTGACTCTCCTAACTGCACGTGCTCCACGGTCTCTGCTCCCACCCCGCCTGTCTCCGGAGCCTTCCAGCCGCCTTCGGACCCGTCTGCCCTCTGCCCCCGCCCACCCCCCCAGCCCAGCCCTGGTGCGTGGGGACTCTGGGTCTGGTGCGGGCGCCCTGTTCTGAGCCCGGGCTGTGACGTGCACCAGCTGTGGGCTTTGGGCAAGTCCCTTTCCCTGGTCATCCTCGGCTCCCGTGTGGGGGACGGTGGCCACACGGGACCTCCCCCTCCTCTGGTGAGGGGGGGGTGGCGAGCGACGGGGTCAGGAAGTGCGGCCTGTGCGCCTGGCAGGACCCCGGAGCCCGTATGACTGCTGAGGTCGGCCTGTCCCTTGACCCAGCCCCTACGCAGGGCCAGCCTTCCAGCTGCCCGCGGTGGGCGGCTGGCCTCGGGGCCTCTGGCGCGGGAGGCTGTGGAGGGCGGGGAGATGGCACTGAGGAAGCGCCGGGGAGGCTGGGGGTGCGCTCGGGCCCCCTGGAGGCAACCGCAGGCCTGATGTGGGCCCGGTGGGGCTGAGTCCGCCGCCCTGCTCCGCGGGGGCAGCCCTGCCCCGGCCTCCCCTCGCCCGCGCTGCTTCCGCAGGTGGCCCGCGTCCGCCGGCAGGACGCCGGGGCTGGCGGCCAGGTTCACTCGCTGCTGTGTCGTCAGGGCAGGGGCCGTGCAGGTAAGGGAGCGAGGTGGGGGGCTCGCAGCCCACCGGGTAGGGCTGTGCGGCGGGCGGTGCTGGCCGAGGCAGCGGCAGAGCCAGTCCACGGCCTTGACCACGTGCGCCCTGCCCCACCTGCTCCGGCTGGCCCTGTCGTCAGCCAGTCCTGCGGCCGGGAGGAAGCAAGGCACAGGGAGGGTCGGTGCCCGGGGTCACGGGGAGAGTTCAGAGACGCCGGACAGCGAGGCCCGCTCGTCTCCATGGTCTGTGCTTGGGAGTGAGGGCTTGACGGGGGCCCGACGGGGGCCGCTGTGCTCAGCTGTGTGCTTCAGAAAGATGGGGGGGCGGTAGGGTTGGGGTGCCCGCGGTGCGCAGTCCGCTGGGGCGGCGGCCCCTGAGGCAGCACTGTCAGCATTGCCTGGGAGTTCACTAGACACGCACGGTCGCGAGCCCACCCCAGGCCTGGCCAGTCGGAAGCTCCTCCAGAGGATCCGGGGGCCAGCCCGAGTTTGAGAACCAGAGTCCTGGTCCAGACCACTGGCGCCTGGGGCTGGGCCACCGCACAGCTGCCTCCTAGTTTGCGCCCTCGTCCGCTGCCTCCCTGACACTGAATGGGCCGAGGTCCGCTGCCTCCTCCCGGTGAAGCCAGGGCCCCTCCCTCTGCAGCGGCCTAGCACCTTCTTCCTCTGCCCTTCCCGGAACCTCCTGCTCGGCCACCCCAGCCACGCTCCTGGTTCTTCCCACTCAGCTGTGCACGCAGGGTGAATCGGTGGGTGGCCCTTGTCTCCTCTGCTTTCAGTCCGTTTGTCCAGAGGAGGACAGTGGCGCCTTGGGCAGAGCCAGGGACGCTCTGTTCCTCCCCATTGCGCGGAGTGGATGTGGTCACACGTGGCAGTCTGGTTCTCTCGTCTGTTCCCAGCAGCTGTCCTGGTTTCCACAGCCAGCGTGGGACAGAGCCACAGCTTTGAGATCCATGCGTGCCCTGCATTCTACGGGAGTTCTTGCTTCCCAAGGGGAACGCGAGGTTAAGGACACGGCGCACAGTGCCCCCTGCTGGTGACCAGGGGAACAGAACATGGTTAAAGGTGCAGGTGGCAGGTTCATCAACTCGACGTCCTTGTTTTTCAGAACTTGACGGTGCGGAGAAGTCTGCGTGGCCCCAGATGCCTCTGCTGGCCAGAGGATGAGCGGGCAGTGGCCGTGAGCGGTGGAACGTTCCACGTCCCTGCAAACCTTGGCTCAGGTCGCTTCCTTCTCGGTAGGCTGCAGCCAAAGAGCACCATGAGTACGGTGAGTTGTGTCAGCCCAGGAGTTTGTTCTCGAGGCTAAGTGACTACCTGATTCCGCACGGCACCTTAAGGTGCTTTCAAGCACCCCAGTTGGGGACCTCCCGGGAGTCGGAGGCACGGGCGCGCCGACTGGCCCAGTGTCTGGGCGGTGCCCTGAGGGGGGGCGGCGGTGGAGGCCTGGGGGCCCCGGGCCCCAGAGCGGTTGCCGATGTGCGTGGGCGCTGGGGCTCTGGTGTCGCTCGTTTTCTGCCCTCTCCGCCCCGTGCCGTTCTGCGTCCAGGGTGAGCGCAGCGCGGAGGGTCCTCAGGGAGAGGTCTCCGGCCCCCGGAGACCAGGCCTGGCTTGTTGCTGTGCGGGCGGTCGCGAGGTTTCTCGGACCGCAGAGGCAGCTCTGCTCTGCTGCGGCCCCGGCGTCACGGGGCCCCCTGAGCTCCAGGGAAGGTTGCCTGAAGGGACAGGCCGAGAAAACTCTGGTTCCCTGAGTTGGGTCGGGGGTGTTCATCAGGGCTGAACCCCACTTGGTGTGCCCTGGGAGGTCAGAGGCCAGATTCCCCCGAGGAAGGCCTGCTTTCCACGGTGGGTAGAAACTGGGGAGACTGGAGGTCTGTGCGCCAGAGACAGAGAGAGGCCAGACAAGTTCTGGGAGGGAGGCCTGTCCCTGGGGTCACACAGGGGTTCCGCCAAATCCTGAGCTGGGCCAGAGGCCTCTGGGGGGGGGGTGTTGTGCGTTTGTGCCAGCCCGATGGGTTGATGAGCGAGTTTTCCTCTTGAGAATTTATGTTCCCTGTGTGTTTTGGACGATTTACCGCCCAACACGCAGTGCCTGGAGCCTGCCGTGTTGGGAGGGCCTGCCCTGGGCCTGCTCCCCCGGTGCGTGGGCCCTTTCTCGGGGCCGCCCTGCTCGCAGCCCCGCTGAGCCTGGTCGCTCGGGACTGACGCGCGTTTCCTCGGTTGGCTCCGGGGCCCCAGAGGAAGCGCCGAGGAGGGGTTTCCAGTTCCAGACCAGCCCAGAAGCGAGCTCGGGAAGCAGCCTCCACCCTGGAGACGACTCTGGAAGCGGAGCCCATAGAGCTCGTGGAGAGCGGTAAGGTTGCCGGGGACGCGGCGGTGGTGAGGGGTGGGCGGGCGAGGCCGCGCTGCCGGAGCCGCTGGGCACCTGACAGTGCTGCCTGCGGTCCCGTGCCCGGCCTCTCATCTGGATCCAGACACGGCCCCGCCTGCCGCGGAGCTGTCAGAGGGCTGCTGCGGGTCGAGGCAGTGACGCAGGCTGCACGGGGTGCCCAGTGCCTGTCTGACTCAGCGTCTCTGCTTTTCCTTCCTCCTTTTCCATCTTACCCAGGTGACTGCCCAACCCCCTGCCCTGTCACCCTGCCTCCAGCCCTGTCCCTTCCGCCCATTCTCTACACGTGGTGGGAGTGGTTCTCCTCGTTTTCTGAGCTGACCCTGTCTCTGCCCTGCTTGCCCCCCACTGTTGCCCAGTGCCCTGAGGATGAAGTCCAGATTTCTCCCTGTGGCTCACGGACCCCCCAGGACATGCCCGCCTGGCCCTTGGCCTTACTGAGCAGCCTAGTAAACGCTCTGGATCGGTGCCCTTCCACGACCCACACAGGCGCAGTCTCGCCTGTGTCACCACTTACCTCTCCCTGGAGCAGAGCTGCCGCTTTGTCGCTCCAGGACGTCCACGAGTCTGAGCCGGTGCTCGCTGGCGGGCCGCTCACTCGGCCTCCGGGGCAGGGGGGACTGCCCGGGCCCACTCCACCATTTGAAAGCATACCTCCAGTTTGTGTGGCCTCGTAGAGAACTCGGCTTCCCTCTTTTTCATTAAGACAGAAGATCGCCCAAGAAGGCGAATGTGTGGCCAGAGCTGCCTGTGTTGGAGGGGGTTTGGGGCAGGCAGAGGCCAGGAGACTTGTCCCCGCTGGCTGCTCTGGGAAGTGGCAAGTGGCCTGAGTGGAGTCTCTTGGCTCTGCATGTAGCAAGATTGTTTTGTAGCCATGTTGCCTGAAAGCTGACTTCAACAAGAAGCAACATTTGGTGGGGCCTTTGAAGAGTGAGGTTCTCAGCACTGTCTCCGGCCTCTTCTCACCCCAAACCACGAGTCCCAGAACACCCAGCGGCGGGGACCCTGGCCTGCTGCCCGCCCCACAGCTGACGCCCAGGCCTATGTGTCCCGCCCTCCCCAGGAGAGGCCAGGGTGGGGCTGCTCCCCGCGTCTCCCAGGGGGCTCGGAGCTCAAGCCTGGGGAGGCACGGGGCTGCGGGCGCCAGCGGCCCGTGAGAGTCTCGGTTTTGTTTGTAAGAGTCCAGAGCCAGAAAGAGGAAGGTTCTGGAAATGATGGGACGTCAGCATGTGGGCCATGCTTCTGAGAAGAACTAGGTCATTTTATGTAAATCACATCAGACTTTTTTCACATGGTGTGGTTTTTATTCCTGTGACTTCTAATATATGAAAATAGAGCTTTCTGAATATGTTAAACACGTTACAAGTCACTTCCCCCAGATATTCAGCAGATACTGTTTCTGAACAGTCTACCCTCCCGTTCTCTGGTGTTGACAGTGACAGAAGAACAGGGGTGTGAGTGTCCTGTGGGCGTGTGGAACTGGAACTGTTCCGCCCTTCACGTGGGTCCTAAGTGGGTCCAGGAGCTGTTGGGCACACGCTCCTCCCCCCCGCCCTGTGCTCGCGGGGACACTGCAGTGGACCCAAGCGCTCACCGCAGCTGCAGGCCGGGCCCAGCCCGCTGGTCTGTTCTGCACCAGAACATAGCGCGTGGGGTGCTGAGCAGAGCATGCCTCGAGGTCTCTAGGCAAGTGGCCACTCCCGGCTTCCCTGTTGCGGGGAGCAGAGGTTTTGGGCCCGCCCACCCCAAGGAGAAGGGCCCCGAGCCGAGCATGCTCGCCGCCTTCCACGTCGGTCCCTGCCCCGCCCCCCGTGGAGGAGCGGGTGCGGACACGGGGGCCTCCCCGCGTGGCAGTGCAGGGCCATGGGGTGGGGGTGTGCGTGTGCACAGGCCCCCCTTCCCCAGCGGTGCGCCTGTCCAACCACGGGCTGCCACTCAGCAGCACTTGGAAGGGTGTCCCTGGCTGTCGCCCAGAAAGGGGTTGGTCCTGGAGCCTTCGGCACTCTGCCCCTCGGGGGTCGGGCCGGAAGTCGGGCTCTCGTCACCTTGCTAGTGAAGTCGGCGTGCTCGCTCTCTCCTGACATGTGCCGGAATGCTTTGTTTTGAAGCTGGAGACGAGATAGTGGACCTCACCTGTGAGTCTCTGGAGCCCGTGGTCGTTGACCTGACGCACAGCGACTCCGTCGTGGTAAGCCGTGAGCCGGGCAGCGGGCTGGGGGGAGTGGCTCAGGCGGCCCCCTGAGCCGGGGGTGGTTGGCTCCTCTTGACGGGGCCCCTGGCCAGCACCGGGCCCTGAAGGCCGTGCTCACAGTGGAGGTTTGCACTCAGTGGCACGCCCACGACAGAGGACGGTTCAGGGAAGTCGCCTGCCCTGGGTTTGCTGCCTGTGTGCCCCTGACCTGTTCCCAGCGGGCGCAGAGGCCCTGGGGGCAAGCTCTGGGGTTCTTCTTTCTTCAGTGCCTAACTCTACGCCCTGTGCCCGCTGTGTGACCCCAGCGAGGGACGCAGGCTCTTCCCGTTTGTGGAGCGGAGGCCTGCCATCCGGGTCGGCTGGGTGTCGTGGGCACTCACGGGGGCACTGGCCTCGAGTGCCTGGCCCTGGGCTGGTGCCCGGGAACCCGGCTCTCTCCTCCACGCGGGAGAACAGGGTGCTGGCTCAGCACTGCCGGCGCCTGGAGAGACCGCCCCGGAGGCTGCGGGGCCCCTTCCCGTGGTGCCGGGTCTGGACTCGGGCAGGGACTGCGGCATGAGAGGGGAGACTGGGCTGGCCCCTGCGGGTGGGGGCTGCCGGCCCACGGACCCGCGTCCTCGGGCGGCCTGCCTCTCCCGGTGGCCCTCCAGCGCCTTCCGGGACAGAGCGCACGTGGTTGGGGGCTTACAGGGCGAGACTCTGGCCGGGTCTGAAAGCTCCGAGCTGTCCAGCTGCCCCTGCAGCTGGGACGGGGGCTCGGGTCGCTGGCCCTACAGAGGGGCGGCAGTTACCTGGAGACGGGCTGGGACTTCTGGAGATGAGTTGGAGTGGGCGTGGATGGCAGTGGTCCCTGTCCGGGCCTGGTCGGTGTTCTGTGGCCCACATGTCACACAGCATGGCTGCCGGTCCCTGTGGCGCCCAGGGGTCCTGGAAGGGTCATGGAATTTGGCACCCTGGCTGAAACCTGCAGCCTCCTTGCTAACACTTCAGGTGGCACCAAGTTCCTCCTTTCTCCAAGGCCTGGAGTGCTGGGCCCCGGGCCCCGCGCGAGAGAGAGATGGCGGGTTCCACTGCTGGACCCCGCACCCCGCACCCCAGAGCCAGGGTGGCTCCCAAAACGTGGCCGGACTGTGTCTCCGTGCCCCCGAGGGAGGATCGCCGCACGGTGACCAGCAGAAGGGAGAGCGCTCCGGGCTGCCTTTTGTGCGTGCCTTTTGCTCTTGGCGGGAGTCAGGCCTGTTTTCCGAAGAGGCTGCACCAGCGTGTGCTCACGCCGCGGCTGGAGGATCTCACCGCCGTGACACCACGAGCCCTTCCCTCTTTGGCCGTGACGATGCGGGCTCGCTCGCTCGCTTTCGTGGTCACCGGGTGCTCCCCTTCACCTCTCCTGCCACCGCTCCTAGACAGAGACGGGCTCCGTCCCGGCCTGTGGGCGCTGCGGTCACGCAGGCCCCTTCACGGTCACATAAGCGAGTGGGCAGGTGGGGCGTGGACACAGCGCGGCCCACGCCTACTGGAACACCTCGCAGAGACAGCTGAGGGTCCAGGAACGCCAAACTGACCGCCACCAACAACGTTCTGGAGTTCACTGAGGGGAAACCGTCCAAGCAAATACCATGACCGATGCTCTCCCTGCCAACAGCCCCATTTCCTAAGAGGAACCGGTCTCTTCCCACCCTGCACCAGGCCAGCTGGCGCAGACGCGGGCACACGGCACGTGCCGGGGACACGGGCCAGAAAGCAGAGGGTGGAGACCCACGAGACAGTTCCAAGCAGTGGCAGTCTAGTACTTCCTGTGACCTTCCCACTGAAAACAACAGACGCGACATTTTAAAGTAAACGGGTGTCAAGAAAACGGTACTGGGTCACAGGTAAAGGAACAGAATCTTCCGGAGAACGGGGAAAAGGGGGAGCCCACCTCACTTTATAAAGACACCACAACTCTAGAGGACGTGCACCAGAGGAAAACCACAGACCCACTGTCTCACTCACAAAGACGGGGGCGAGAGGACACGGCCCAAACACCAGGAAACGGATCCAGCGCCACGTAACCACGACGACGTGTCTGCGGTGCCGAGCTGACGGGGTCCCCAGGCCGACAGGCGCAAGGGGGGAAGTCGCCGCCAGACGGGAGGCTCCGAGGTCAACACCTGCCCCCCAGAGGAACCTGAGTCCCCCCGGGGGACCGGGAGGGGACGACCGGGGAACGCACACCCTGCAGCGGAGGCCTCAGCAGTGTGCACGGGGGGACTGTGCCCGGGCTCCTTCAGGCCTGGGGCGAGCCGAGAAGTCTCCAGCGTCACTCGGACGAGAAAGCAACTGCTGAAAGGCCGTTCATGCTTCAACAGCAGCCCAACCAAGCTCGGACCTGGGGACAGCTCGAAGGGGACTCACCCAACCACCCCAGGGGGCGTCGACTCCCTGAGGCCGTCTCAGGGACCGCCCCCCCAAGCTGCACACAGAAGCCAGCTCCGGTGGGTCACAGGCCGGGGGGCGAGAGGCAAAACAGTGAACTTGGAGGGCGCAGGAACGTGTTTTTCCCGAAGTACGAGATTCTCCTCCGACAGACCAGCACTCGACCCTGCTAAGACCGAAGACCTCTGTGTGTGTGTGTGTGTGTGTGTGTGTGTGCCACAGAGAGGGAAGGTGAGCCCCTGGGCACGGGGCAGGCGGCAGGCTCAAGCTCAGACGCACTCACAAGTCCCCAAGCAGCGGGACGACGACGAAAACCAAACGGGAAAATGAATAGGAAAAAGCCTCGCTGTTAAGAAGACAAAGGGGATGCTTTGTTCTAGTTCGACTTACTCCGCTACTTTTTTTAAAGTTCTACATACAATACGTACAAAAAAATTTAGCAGTCCCTCAGGTGCCTCACCAAAGAGCGAGGGCCCCAACCACGCAAACGGGAAGGCGTTCCCTCCCGATTGTGCTTGGCAGGCGGCCTCCAACCGCTGCGGGCACGCAGGAACCCGCCAGCCCAGCTCGAGGTCAAGGGTCGGGGAAGCAGCAGGCTCGGGCTCCGCAGAGCGTGTCCTGACAGGCTGCTCTCCTGGTGGGGCCTCGGGGCGGCCGTGAGCTGTCGGTGTTTGGTGTCTGTCATTGTGGGCTGTGTGACTGCTGGGTCACCTAAAGCGAGCGGCTCTCTGTGCTCTGGCTGGGGGAGCACCCTCAGAAATGTCGGGGGTCATCAGGTGCCGGGGTCCCCAGTGGCTCCTGCTGCATCCCCAGGGGCCCCCGGAAAGCCAGGCGTCTGTGGGAGAAAGGCTCACCCTCCCCGCTGTATGGCAGCCGGTGCTGCACGTGTCAGCGCTGGCAGGCGCTGGGAGGCTCCCCTGCACGTCAGAGCCCTAAGGGGGCCGGCCTGGGGCCAGTGTGTCAGGAGTAGCTGCAGCTGCAGCACTGGGCGCCTTCCCGTCTGACCGATCGCTCTGGCCTGGGTTGGGCCCCAGCCAGGAGGGGGGGCTCTGGGCCAGCCCGATGCCCTTCTGACTCTGCGGCCCAGGCAGGGGCTGCTCAGTGGCTGTCGTCTGCTTTGGCATTGGTGTCTCATACCCTCCCAGCCGGCAGGGAGGCTGCGAGTCTGTGCCGCCCCTACTTGCTGACACGCTCTCGCCTGCAGTGCACGTGCCTGATGCCCCGGGGCCGCGGCCCCGAGCAGGGCGCCCCAGAGCGCTGTGGTCCCAGCGCTGCCGATGGGTGTGGGGACGGTGTGGCACGGCCAGGGCGCTTGCTCCTTGCTGCTCTCTCCTCCGAGCCGCCCTGTTAAAGGTGGGGACAGCCCGTCACCTGGGGGAGGGGGCTCTCCGGCCCCTGCGTGTGGAGCTCCAGCGTGCGCCGGGTCTGTGGGGACCAGTCCCCGCACGCTGCAGGAGCCGGTGGCACCCCCCCCCTTCTCTGTGCTCCCACCTGGCCCTGCTCGGTCAGTCCGACTCCCAGGCCTCGCATGGACGGTGCCTCTACCCACCCACGCTTGTCTCCTAGTAAACGTGGCCCCAGTGCGGAGGTTGGCTGTCCCCCAGTTTCATTGTCACACTCGGCAGCTTCCTAGGAACGGGCGCCTTCGGTCACCCCGCGTGGGGCTTCCTGCTGCTGCTTCCTGGGCCCGCCGGTTGTGCCCTTCGGGGTTCCCCCGAGCCCACTCGCGTCGTTCTGAAGCAGAATCGGGTGTCATCCGTGGCAGCAGGCGCTTCCTGTGAAAAGGCGGGGGAGTGACCCCGGTTGTCTCGGCCTTGGCCCAGCGTGGAGGCTGCTGGCCCGGGTCAGCCGAGGAGAGGGCAGCAGGCTCTCCCGAGGCACCAGGCCCACGACCTGCTGGGACCGTGTCAGCAGCGGGTCCCGAGGACACAAGGCTGCGAACTCGGGAGAGCTGTGACCTGGTTGGAACCACAGCAGCAGAACAGATCTGGGTGGGAGTTCTGTGGGCCTCCAGGGCACAGAGCTGCGCCCACCTCGGTCCTGCTGCGGGCCACCCTGAGCCAGCCCTGCGTGCCTGCTCCTGGGGGCTGCTCCTGGGGGCTGGCTGCTCCCACTGCCTCCTGGGCACGGTGCCCTCCACCCAGTTGGGGTCCCTCCACCCGGTCGGCGCCGTGTCCTCGGCAGGAGCCCCGGGGAGTCGGGTTCCTGTTGTGGGCGGCTGTGGAGCTGGTCCTGGGCTCCGGGTGCCTGCTGCCCTATGCCGCCCTGGGGTCTGGCCTTGTCTCCCTCGCTCCTCCCAGCAGCACGGTGGGTGGGAGGCACTGGGGGCTCCATCCTGAGCAGAGGACACTGGAGGGTGGAGGGACTCGCCTGGTCACGTGGCGGCAGCCCCCTCGGCTCCCTGGGGGTCTTGCGCGTGAAGTGAGTGTCGCGTCGTTTCTGTGTCCAAAGACGCGGCACCTTGTGCACCAGACTGATTCTGTCTTCTCCTTTTTAAAGATCGTCGACGGTGAGTGGTCTCCCTCCTTCGTGGGTTTGGACGGACAGCTGGCGTGCGGTAGGATGCGAGAAGGCTGGGCGGGAGGACGCCCGTGGTGCTGCGGTGGTCAGGCCCGCCGGCCGGTCCCGTGCCCCGGGAGGAAGTGCGCTCCTGGCACGGGCTGCAGGCCCGCGGCTCGGGCACCTGCTCTCCTCAGGGACGGACTTCTCCTGGCGAGACGGGGTGGGGAGCCTCTTCGGGGCTGGGCAGGACCTCCGGGGTGGGGCCGGGCGGGGGTCTCTGGGCATGGCGGCCAATCTCTCCGCGGTCTGGGACTGGCCTGCCTGCGGCAGGAAGGACGGCGGTGGGGGTGGTGGGCCAGGGAGGCCCCCTGTCCTGAGCTCAGACGCGCGTCTCAGAAAGGAGGCGGCCGCGGAGGACTGCCAGGCGGCCGCGCCCGGACCAGGCCGACAGCTGTGTGGTGAGCAGCGACGACGAGGAGCTGCCCAGGGACAGAGACGTGTACGTGACCACACACGCCCCCAGGAGCACCAGGGAGGAGGCCTCTCCGGGACTCAGGTGCCTCTGCGCCCGCCGCCCTGCGGCCCCCGCCACTCTGCAGCCCCCGCCCTCGCCATGGGCCGGCTGCCTCTCCAGGGAGCCGCCTCCTCCTCCGTTTCCTGGGGAGTGGGGCAGGGGGTTAGATGCCCCCGGCCTTCAGCCAGTGCTGGGAGCCTGGGCCCTGGGAGGGCTTGTTGAAACCTCTCTCCGAGAGGTGCAGGTGGGGCTGGTGCAGGTGGGGCTGGCTCGGAGCGGGGCTCAGCTGTCGTCACTGGGGGTGCTGGGGGTGCTGGGGGCAGAGGCTGGGGTGGGGCGGACGCGGCGACTCGGGCGTCTGCACGTTCTAGTGTCCCCCGGCTCTCACGGCCCCGCTGAGCCCTGTGGGGTGGCCGGCCTTCCTGTGAGCCCCGAGACCCCGGGCCAAGGCAGGTTCGGGGGAGGCTCTCGGAGGGGACCAGCTGCGCAGGCGGCGGCCCCTCGTGGGCGCCGACGGGCGTCTGCATGTGCTGCGCGCTGACGGGACCGTGTGTTGCAGGCCCTCTGGCACGATCAGCTGCCCCATCTGCATGGACGGGTACTCAGAGGTGAGCGGCCCAGGGTGACCTTCCTGCCCTGTGGGGCGGATGGATGAGGGGGGCCCCTCTCGTTAGGTGGGGCCTGGCGCTTCCTCCCCAGTCCCGCCCCGGCTGGCGCGGGGCGTGCCCTGCCTCTGTGGGAAGGCAGAGCGCCCCATGTTCTGGGTGGCCGGAGCCCTGCAGCACTGTCCCCCCGTGCGCCCGCCCAGCAGCCGTGGCCCCTCTGGGCCTGGCGGGTCAGGTGGCCGGGCCCCTGGGGCTGCCGCTGCCAGGAACCCTCGGCCCTGCAGGCTGTCCCTCGGCACCTCTAGGATGGGCACGCTCCAGGGCTGCTGCTTTTGCTGTTCCCTAGATTGTGCAGAACGGACGTGTCATTGTTTCCACGGAGTGCGGCCACGTCTTCTGCAGCCAGTGCCTCCGAGACTCCCTCAAGAACGCCAACACCTGCCCGACCTGCAGGAAGAAGATGAGCCACAAACGCTACCACCCCATTTACATATGAGGCGCTGGGGGCTGCCGGGAGAGGGGACAGACGGCGACGGCCGCGGGGCGGCCCTGCGGCCCTCCGTGGGGCGTCTGCCCCCAGTCTCCCGCGCTCACAAAGACCATCTCCCACCCAGCGCCTGACACGTAGACTGCTTCTTTGTCCCCAGCCCTCCGAGAGCCTCTCGTTACCTCCGGCTCGGGGCCGGGGAGCGGGGTCTGCGTCTCTCTGCTCCCCGGGGACCCGGCCCCCGTGTGCCTGGGAGGGGAGAACCAGGGTCCGAGCCTCTTCCTGGAACGTGCACATTCGCCAAGACGCTTCCCCTGCCTGGCAGGTTGCCCGGCCCCTCCTGGCGCAGGTGTCCTCAAGGGGCTGGCCCCGGCCAGCGCGCGAGCAGGTCCACGCGGCTCTCGCGGGCTCGCTACCTCCTCCCAGGCGTCCACCCAACACAGTGACCAAGCCAGACGCAGTCCCGGCAGCACCAACCGCGGGACTTCCTTCTTCCCAAGAGTCGAGTGACCGTGACTCTGCTGACACCTTAGCAGTGACACACGGGGACTTGTGCGTACCGAGAGCCCCTGCAGGGCCGCCCCTGACCCTACGGAAGAAATGTGCAATAATGCCGCCCACCCACAGCCTGGGAGGGCAGTGCTGTCTGGGTCCCGGGGTCCACGGTGCCTGCGGCCCAGTGCCTGCCCCACCCCGCCCTGCCGCCGCCTGCTCTCAGGAACCGACCGGGCCCGGACTTCTCCACCCGGCATGGGCCCTGCAAGGCCAACGGGCCCGGCCTGTGGCCCAGCGAACACACTTCTCTGATAAAATCCACCCTCTGTTTGCCACGTGCCCTCTGGTCCTCAGCTCCCGCTGCCCAGCGTCTCCTCGAGCACGGACACTGGGAGGCGGGGGCAGTGTTTGTGGCCTTATCAGCCCACGGCCGCGCTGTCGCCCCCGCTGCAGCCGCCCCTGGTGTCAGAGGGCCCGGCCCAGGGGCCCGGCCGGGCCTGCCTTGGCCGTCTCGCTGCCCACGTTCATTCCAGAATTCGCCCCTCTGGCCGACCGGGCTTTGACCCCTCGGGCTTCTGACTGCTCCGCAGGTTTGGGTCGGCGGCTCCCCTCCCCGGGGCCCAGCCAGCACCCCTCTGCTCGCCTCCGACGGCGCGGGAGAGCCTCGGCCCCTCCGGGGGCTGCGCCGCCCCGAGTTTGGGGAGGACGGCGGGGGCCCTGGTGCCGGCCTGCCTCCACCTCCGCACCCTCCTCAGGCCGCGAGCCCCTCGGCGGCCTTGGCGCAGCACCTTCCTGAGGAGGCCGGCCCTCGGGCGCGGCGGCGCTGACGGTCTCCGGGCTCCCCCCGGGGGAGCGGGCCGGCACAGTTCACTTTACGCAGGGCTGCAGGGGCGCCCCTCCTCTGCGGAGAGCCCATCCTTCACTCTGACAGTGGAGCCGGGGGGCTCACCTCCAGGCAGTGGGTGGGCGTGCGAGGAGCGGCCGGGCGGGGCCTGCGTGTCCGGTGTCCCGTGCCGGGCGCCCGCCCTCCACCACCACCTCCTTCCTGGGCTTCGTGGGGGCGCTCCGGTTACGTTCTGACAACACCCAGACTTCAGGAGCCAGGATGCCCGCGCGGCCAAAATCTCTCGTTTTACGTTCAAGGACAGTTGATCATGAAAGTTGTATTTCTGCATAGTGCATTAAATTGGGGGAAAGACACGTGTTTCTGCTATTCAGAAACTGCAAAATAGGAAAAGTTGCTATGAAAAACCCTCCTCCTCCACCTCCTCAGTGTACATACTACGACTCTTTCTTTGTTACGTTTAAATTTGATCCATGACGTCAGTCTGTTTCGGATCCTCTGCTAGTGGTACAGATGGAAATAAACCAGTAATTTGAACCACACAGCATTTCTGTGCACTCGTCTGCTGTTTGGGGTCATTTCCCTCCCCCTTTTGCCCAAGGGCAGTGATGGCCGTTTGCCTCCCGTGCTTGTACCCACCCAGAAGCCGGCAGGCCGTTCCTGAGCGGCCTGGGGCGGAACCACAGCCCGGCCCCGGACTGCCGCTCGACTGCACCGGTGCGGCGCAGTGCGGTGCGGTGCGGTGCAGCCCACGCCGGCCCCCAGACAGAGGGACTGTCCCCCACGTGGGTGTGGTGCCCAGGAGGGGGTGGTGTGCAGAGCAGGGTGAGCGTGACTGCCTCGGGCCGGGGGCTGGGTGAGGGCAGAGCTCACCCTGGGGCTCCGTGGGAGATGGTCGGCGACCAGATGCAGTTCCGTGCCTGGGGAACGTCTGACACGCTGCTGGGACCGGGCCGGCTCTGGCCGGCAGCGGGAAGCCCAGCCCCCCGGCTGCCCGGGGTGCGAGCTCTTCACTGGGGGGTGGTCCGAGAGAGCAGGGAGCCCTGCCGAGCTGTGCTCCGGGTCCGAAGGGTCGTACGGGGAAAGGAGGGGACAGGTGCCACGAGGCCCCCCGGTGGGGGGCCCTCGTTGACCAGACAGCTTCCTGGGCACCCTTAGCCCTGGCTCTAGAGCCCGGGGCCAGGGGCGCCTCCGTCCTGGGCCCGTCCAGGAGAGACCGGGAGCTGTGGACCCACCGGCTGGCACTGACTGGGGCCCCCACGGCTGGCGAGGAAGGACCTTTCTAGGGTTCCTTTTTTGAACATTTTTAACTTACAAATGGTGTCTTTCTTAACTGAAGTGTTTGCTGTTGCCATAAAGAAAGCTGGGTTTTGCGTAGCTCAGTGGATTGAGCGTGGGCTGCGAACCAAAGTGTTGCAGGTTCGATTCCCAGCCAGGGTACATGCCTGGGTTGCGGGCCACAGCCCCCAGCAACTGCACATTGATGTTTCTCTCTATCTCCCTCCCTTCCTTCTCTAAAAATAAATAAATAAAATCTAAAAAAAAAAAAGAGAAAGAAAGCTGGGTTTTGCCCTGGCTGGAAAGATCAGTTGGTGGGAGGGGCGTCCCGATGCACCAAGGCTGGGATCCCCGGTCAGGGCGTGCCCAGGAAGCGGCCTGTAAGTGAAGGCATCAGCAAGTGGGACCACAAATCAGTGGCTTCTCTCTCCTTTCCTTTCTCTAAAACCAATACATTTAAGAAAAAAAAACTTTTTTAAAAGGATGTTGGTTTTTGCATATAGTGTATCGAGTGTTTGTGACCAATTCTCGTTCTCACGAGAACCTAGCTTCCGCTGGGAGCATGTGGGCTGTTGCTGTGTGGCGTCTGTTGTCAGCGTTGACGCGAGGGAACGTTGAAGAAGGCTCCGGGAAAGGAAAGAACGCAGGTTCTGTTGTGCTCCACAGCCACCACCACGCCACCTGCAACGATCCGGCCCTCTGCTCTAGTCCGTGCCCCTCTCTCTCTGTCTCACCGAACTCCTGTTGCCTCCAAGGTACGCGTGTGCGGGATGGTGTGGGCAGGTGCCTGCATGCTTCCTCATTCTCACCCAGAAACAGGTTTGCTGCCGGTTCTTGTTACGTGATCGTCAAGCACGGGAGCTTCCTTGGTAGGAACTTGTTTCTATTTTTGCTACAAATGGATGCTCAACCTTATAAGTTCTTTTTCTACCTCTGGAGACATAGGATGTCCCCCCTTTGATCAGTTAATAGTGTGTTACATTATTTGATTGTGTGTGTGTGTGGCAGCCTTGCATTTCTTGGATAAATCCAGCTTGTTCGTGATGTTTTGTCTGTCTGTAAATTGATTATTTTGTTTTGCTATTATTTGCTTGAGGGTTTCTTAAAAATCTGTGTTTGTGAGTGATTAACACCATTTCCTCACACTGTCAGGTTTTGGTTTCAAAGGGAGGCTGGTTCCCTCACTGACCCTAAGGGGTCTTCTCTCCCTCTGTACCTCGGACTCCACATTGTTTGTTCCTCTAATGTAACCTGAGCAGAACTCAGCGACAAAATCTCTGAGCTGCTGTTTTCATTAAGAAAGATTTTGCCCTGGCTGGCGTAGCTCAGTGGATTGGGCGCGGGCTGCGGACCAGGCATCGCGGGTTCGATTCCCAGTCAGGGCACATGCCTGGGTTACAGGCCACGGCCCCCAGCAACCGCACATTGATGTTTCTCTCTCCCTTCCCTCTCTAAAAATAAATAAATAAAATATTTTAAAATGAATGAATGAATGAAATAAAAATATTTAAAAAAAAAAGATTTTAAAAGACCGATTGGATTTTTTTAGAAAATGAGAACTATTTGCCTTCCTTAAACTCAGTTTTGTTAAGTTACAGTTTCTGGGAATGAGTACCTTTCCTCTCACTGCAAGTCTTTGGTATGAAATAGTTCATAAGCTAGAGTTCGTCTCGGCAGCATCTTTTTATCAGTTGACTTATGCCTTCCCTTTTCATCAGTTCTGGTAGAAGCGTGTCCCTTTTATATCCCGTATCTGTGACGTCCAGCATCCAGCGTCTGTGGTCCATTTCTGATGTCTTTCTTCACTGCTGGCGGCTCTCGCTCACGACGACTTCCTTCTCCGGGTGTTGTAGGGACTTCGTCCCCCTTACTGTGAGCCCGTGTAACGTGGTGCGCTCCCTGAAGATGCTTGGAGACCTGGGTGGAAGGTGGGTTCCTCCAGGAAATTCTTGCCTTTGCTTCTGTGAAGGTTGTGGCCAACACAAAGCCAGCGTAATTGTTTACTTACCTTCTACACCGGGGAGTACGGCGCGCGCACACACACACACACACACACACACAGCTCACTCGGTTATCTCAGGGGCACACCCCAGCGAGTCACCGCAGCACGCGGAGCCCTGAGACCCCTGCCTGAGACCCCCGGCTGTGACGGAAACAACGCTGCCAGCGCCTCGGGAGCCCCCTCCTCCTCCCTCCCGCCCGCATGCGCTGCCTCCCCCTCCAGGTGACCTCCACTCTGACTTCTGCAGAAATCACTCCTTCTGCTCTAAATAGAGTTTAATTAGAGTTTAACACACAGCCTGAATGACATGATTTCATTTAGGCTGTTCTTTGAGCGTTAAATGGGTAGGATCACTGAACGGGTATATTTTGGAGAGGGGCGGCTTCCGTGGCTGAATGTTCGTGACGCGCGCTCACGTCGTGTGACGTCCTCATCGTCTTCCTCGCCGCGCAGTGCTCAGAGGGACCTGCTTCGGCGAGTCCGCCCCTTCGGCCGGGCGTGCTCGCTGTCGACAGCCAGCAGAGGGCCCTGCGCGTGGCTCTCTCTGTGCAGTTTTGCTCACATGGCTGGTGGGCATGATGGGGTTTTAAGGGTCTGAACATTCAGGAAAAGTCAAAACATATGTGGAAATGAACACACTTTTAAACCAGTAGATGAAGGAAGACACCACAAAGGAAATTAGAGAATACCTTGAGAAGGAAGGAAAGGAGGATGCCCCAAAACGTGTGGGATGCGAGGAGTCCGTGCTGGGGGTCCGCAGCTGTAGGTGTGTGCAGTGGGGCAGACCAAATCCGTTTCCTGACGGAGTGCCCGAAGGAGCCGGAAGAAGAAGAACAAACCGGATCCAGCACTGGCAGGAAAGAAAACAATAATAGAGACTAAAACAGGGGTAAATGAGACTGAGGAGGAAAAACTATCTTAGAGAAAATTAAGGACAAGTTTTTTTAAGATCAACAACCTTGACAAACCTTTAGCCAAACTGAGAATGAAAGAGGGAAGACTCCTGTTACTAAAATCCACAAAGGCCCTGCCTGGGGCCGCTTGGCTGGGCATTGTCCTGCCGGCTGCATGGTCCCCGGTTCAATTCCTGGTCTGGGCACGTGCCGGGGTTACGGGTTCAGTCCCTGATGGGGGGCGTCTGAGAGGCAACCCGTCCACGTTGCTCTCACGCATCAGTGTTTCTCTTTCTCTCTTTGTCCCTCCCCCGCTCTAAACATGAGTAAAATCTTTAAAGTCAACCATGAGAGAGGGCATGACTGAACTTGACAGGTGAAAAGGCTACTACGAATGCCTTCCTACCTGTACGCCAGCCAGTTCGATGACCTCGGTGAGACGGGCAAAGTCCTGGAAATGCAAATGAACAAAACTGACCCCAGAACATGAGCAGACCAATAAGAAGTGATATTCAAACAGCACTCAAGACCCCACCACCACCAGCACCAAAGAACCAAGGGCGAGGTGGCCTCGAGGTAGCAGGAGAAGACTTCCTGACTCACTCTGCAAGGTCGTTTTCCTCCTGACCCCGGAGCCACAAGAAGTCAGCTACAGGAGAAGGACTTTGCAGAGTAATTCCTCTCGTGAGCGTCCGTGCGGAAATCCTCGGCACGGCGCCGGTCCCCGAACTCAGCGGCTCCCGGGAAGGACTGGGCTGCACCCAGGGTTTCTCCCAGGGGTGCGAGCGTGCCCCACCTCTGAGAAGCAGTGCGGTATGGCCCATACGACCTGGCTGCCAGGTGCAGAAAAAGCATTTGACTAAACTCTACACCATTTCATGGTAGAAACACTCCACAGACCAAGAGCAACATCATAAAGGCCATGTGTGGAAGGCCGGTGGCTAACGGGTTCAGTGGTGAAAGGAGCAAAGCTTTTCCCCTGAGACGGGAGCAGGACAAGGGTGCCTGCCCACGGTTACCACCTCTGTTCCTCCGTGTTCATCTGGGATTTTAACTGGAGAAATTGTTGGGAACCGCCCTGCCTGGTTTCAGGAGCTGTAACCCCCCATGGCTAAGGCTGAGAAAGTGACCTTCAGACCATAAGCCATTAAGGAGACAAAGCTCATCTCCCTGGCAGGAGCGTCTGCTTCTGCTCCTTTTACTTCACCCTGCCTGGCCCCCAGTGCTTGGTCAGTTAGCCAATGACGGGTAAGATTCCTCAAGGGGGGGAACAACCTAAGACAGGCACAATCACAGGAGGCCCCCAAGGAAGGACTTGGGGGGCTACAGCAAAAGGGGGTGATGGACCCTCGCCCCCTCAGCTTCGACATA